AAAAGATAACATAGTCCAGAACAGATAACAGTCCAGGAAAGATAACACAGTCCAGGAAAGATAACAGTCCAGAACAGAGATCATGGTCCAGGACAGACAACTTAGCCCAGGAGAGAGCTTCTCCATAGACGCCTAGTGTCTCGTTCCTCGGTTGTAAGTCCCACGAGCTATCCTTCGAAGACATTCCAAGCTCCAAAGACAACGCTGAGGATGAATAAATGAACTTAATTTTTCCTTCTGCAATTATTCCTGAATGTCGAAACTTAAAAGATGGATTTTGCAATTATTCAACCACGAGAATAAAAGACGAATTGACTCAAAAAATGTTCAGATTTTCGAAAACAATTTTAGTGGCTGAATAAAAGTTGAGAAAAAACATGAGCCAACTTTGTTTATCATGAGCCTTTTCCGAGAGCACTGAGCGGGATGAATTAAAAATAATCTATTGCAGTAAATATGCATGAAAATGAAATGATGAGCACGGGAAGGTTTGGATCGATATCTTGCTTGGCAACAACTAACAAAGCGTCGGATTCTGGACACACATACACGTACACACACACACACACACACACACACACACACACACACACACACACACACACACACACACACACACACACACACACACACACACACACACACACACACATATTTATATGGACACAAGGACCACATACACGGACATACACACACAAAACAAAATACGCACACACACATAGACACAAGGACCATATACACGACACACACACACACACACACAACACACACACACCACACACACACACACACACACACACACACACACACACACACACACACACACACACACACACACACAGCAACAATAAAGACATACAGCATGGACAGTGAAACCACGACAGCCCCCTGCTCCCCAGGCTTATCTGAGAGATCCACCGGGAATATTTCAAATAAACGTCCGTACCAAAGACTCCTTCCCGAAATGGCCATCATTGCAGAGGACCGCCACATATCAGGGGGCTGTATCAAATACCTCACCTCCACGCAGAGTCGCTGCAGTGAGCACATTTGCATATAATGAAATTTATCGATTTTGATAAATGATTGCATGAGATGGCTCTTCGGAATACGGTCCATGCGGTTTAAAGTTGGCTTTTTGATTCTTGCGATGGATCGATGCGGGTTTTGAAATACGGGAATGTCGGAGGGTTAGATTTGCGCGCTGCTCGCTGTGATTGTATATTCGCTCTTGCTTCTCTCTCTCCTCTCTCTCTCTCTCTCTCTCTCTCTCTCTCTCTCTCTCTCTCTCTCTCTCTCTCTCTCTCTCTCTCTCTCTCTCTCTCTCTATCTATCTATCTCTATCTCTATCTATCTATCTCTCTCTTTCTTTATCTATCTATCTATCTATTTATTTATCTCTGTCTGTCTGTCTTTGTTCCTTTCCCTGTCTATGTCTCTATTTCGGTCTCTCTTTGTCTCTCCCTCGCCCCCAGCCCTTTATCTCTTTCTCCATCTATCTATCTGTCTGTCTCAGTTTCTTTCCTTTCTCTATTTTGGTCTCTCTCTCTCTCTCTCGTTCTCTGTTGAATATGTGCCTCTAAGAGTGCGTGCGAACGCGTTTTATGCACGCACGCACACGCATACAAATACACACACATATATATGTGTGTGTTTGTTTGTGTTTGTGCACACACACGCATATATATATATATCCCTTTCACTACTGAAATAATACTCTCATAATTACTTTATTTTTTCATAAAACTTCTTTCAGTAAGCTGGAAAAAGTGAGTTCATTAGTTTTTACAACGTATCTTTTATGTTGACCCAAATTCTGCACATGAGGTCTCAGTCTTTCTAATTTTCGACTTTATTACAAAAGTAATACAATTGTCTCAAGAAAACATTATTTTTGCTATATTTCACTTATTTTGTTTTAATGATAATTCCGAAAATAAGTTCCTTATCATATTGTCTCAAAATACTAAACAAAGTTGAATTCTTGATATTTAACTTCTACAATTCACTTTTGCTGAAAACGGTAAAGCCTTTATATCTTTATTTACATATTTATTTATTTTTTTCTTCTTTTTTTTTTTGGGGGGGGGGGGAGGTGAATCCATAGATACATTTCATATTTTGGTCATGAAAACCTGGTCATGGATCTACCACCTGTGGCTTGCAATCTCCCTAGTGTTGGTTTTCTTGCAACAAACTGTTTGAGGGAAGTACGTTTTTTTTTTTTAAGGGATTATCTCTAATCTTACGTGTCCCCCCTAATCCCCTGCCGGAAATTCTAGTGGGGGGGGGGCAGGAGACGGGGACTGGAACCCAATGTAGGGGCCCCTACCTTGGACCTCAACCCTCGCCTTAACTAGTTTTGCATGGTCTTTTCATCTACCCTTTTCTTTTTCCTTCTCTTCCTCACCCCCTTCTTCTGTCCACATCCTAAAGCGCGAGAGTCCTGCTGAAAGGACGAAAGGCTGGCTTTGTGTCAGTCCTGAACGGCCTTCGTCCTCCCTTTGCTCTTCCCTCTTTGCCCTTTCGCTGCCACACTAACCCACAGCGCTTTTCACCCTTTGATATCTGACATATTTCGTACTAATTGTTATTCCATTATTGACCTTTTCGCCACAATTCTTTATCATGTAGCGGTATGACCTTTCCTTACCTGGGTCTTCTCCCCCAAGCCTCGCTCTACAGCCATATTTAGTATGCGCTGCTAATGAGCTTAGATGTTGACGGGGTAGAAATTTTTCAATATATGAATAAATAATNACACAAGGAGATTGATAGAAGATAGGATACTTATAGGTTCATATCAGCACCAAGAGATCACCATGTTTTGGTGTGTGATATCTACGCATGGCAGGAGAATGATTTATGTACTAAAATTCACCCCTTCATACAAAACAATCAATCACAGCATTACACATCCCAATCTCCATCATGCAATGACCTAAAGTATGTGATATGGGCATGTGGGTTCCTCATAAAGAACAGCATAAAATGTAAAACACGCATCATCATAACATGACATGAATGACTCGTCACCTGGAACCACGTCCAAGTCTGCCGAGATGTGAATAACATCACCTGGAGCCATGAAACCCATGTCATCTGTGGGCTAGGAGTTAACCTCAGCCTGGAGGTTCATGAAATCTAACACATGCAATCACTTGACAGTGGGAAACTATCAAAGTGCTACAAATCTTTTTGAGCACTAGATGAACTTATTCATACATTTCTCCATCCTACACAAAAAATGTATTAACCAGTTGGGATCCAGTTGCGTCACAGAAATCAATGTGCTGAAAATACGGAAAGTGGGTTACGTAAGTATCCAACATCCCAGGTATGCGGGAACACCCATGAGGGGTGACAAGACTCTTTTGCATAAACATTTTTTTGCTCTTTCGCCATTTTCCAGTGTCGATATTCATCTTTTAATTTGCTTTATCCTGATGGTAATGGCTCATTTTCCTTACACTGACTCCATATCATCTATGTAGTAAATATAAAGTACTGAACATTTACTTATTTGTCATATATCATATTTTTCGTAATTTTCAATTTTCCGTAATACAACCTGCGCCGCTGGACGCAGCAGATAGAAATACTGTGTACACCATGAAAATGGCGTCCTCCAGGACCTGCACTCTTCCAGTCATGGCTTACGCACATTACATTCCACATTCGTTTATCAATGGGAATAATGCTAAAGCCCCCTTCTATGACCAAATGAGTAATATCATACTCCAAAGGGATTGTGCACTAGTGGTGAGTCTTTTCCACCACCCTTGCCTTCGCTCAAGACAGCAAGTTCGCATCACCCAGCCCTCAGCTATTTTGCCCGATGACAGCTTGTTCGCATCATCCAGCCCTCGAAAAAGATTTTTCAATGACAGGACCATAACATCATCCGTAGGGATGATGTTATTTTTGAACCCCTCTGATCCGACATGACCATCTCTCCTGTCATGAAAAGCCTTTAGATGAGAGGTATGTGACATGATCATGCCACCATGGGACAAAATGGCCAGGTAACACGAACTTGCTGTCATGAGCGAACACCAGGGTGACAGAAAAGACTCACCACGAGCCCCAAACCTCTTGGAGTGTGATTAGACACATTTGGCATTTAGAAGGGGCCTTTTGCATTGTTCCCATCAATAAACGAGTGTGGAAAGTAATGTCTGGGAGTGCCAGGTCCAGGGAAGAAGCCATTTCCAAACTCAACTCAGCATCATATTTCTAGCTACCATAACTGTCGGCAGAGGTTAGAGTACAGAAAATTGAATATTACTAAAATTTAAGATATATGACACAAATAACAAAATATACTCTCTTTTTCTTCTTGCACTTAGTTATTTACTATATAGAGCGATGGTAGAGCCTGTGCAAGGAAAATAATATATTACCATCTAGATACAGCAAATCAAAAGACAAATATGGTTATGGAAAAATGGCAAAAAAGTAAAAAGGTTTATGCAAAATAACTTTGCAAAGGGGAGCCCCACAGTCTTGTCACCGCACACAATGGTTTGCATGCTCCTAGCCGAATGGCCACTTGTGCAACCTAATGTCCATATTTTCAACCATGTGATTGCTATGATGTAACGGATCCAACAAGTTCACTGACCTTTTATAATGAGCATTATTGATTTATTATATATCCATAGATCAATTTTAATCTTTTCATTTTGTATATATTATCTATTCTATCTATAAATGTTTCTTGCTTGTAATGACACCCATTAACCATCCAGCATCCAACCCTTTCTTTCCAAAACGCTACCCTTCTCTATTCCTACCTACATCATACCATCTTCAGTTTAGTTCATATGACTGTAGTATATACCTAATATACAGAAGTACTCAAACATGTATAGTTGTTTAAATTTGCTTTTGTTATGCAGATGGCTCTGTTAATTTCTACACTATAAGATTTTCTAAATCTCCCTCATACATAATATAAAATGTATAATTCACTAATTCAAGGCAGAAATCATTTGCAAATAACCTGAAATGCTTTACTTCATTAACCTAAAAGAAAGGAGACATTCTCCCAAAAGACACTTACTTCTGGCAGCCAAAATTCCCCCAGTAGCAGCACCGGAAAATTGAATTCCACGGGTCCTCCTTCTTCCGCATGTACACCAAGGAGCAATCAATGGTGGAGAAAAGCCCTCCCCACACAGCAAACTGACCACCCACAATAGGTGCTCTCTGTTTCACAGCTACCAAACTGCCTGTAAATCTTCTGCTCAAACCCTGTAATACAAAAAGAATAAGTAAGAACAGGAATAAAACAACTATAAATCTATCTTGTAAAGAGGAGTGATGGGGTGAGGTTCATTTGCTGTAGCTGTTAGTTTGTTTGTTGCTTTTTTTTCTATTGTCATATTTACGAAATTTATCCTTTTACCACTACCCTCATGTGCAGTAAATCATTTCTTAAACGACTTTTTATATAGAACATGGACACCTATGGGGAATGTTTCTATGCCTCTTAGTAGCCGTCAAAGGGTTAAGGTAACAGTAAAAAATGAGGATCACAAAAAATATGGAATATAAAATCTTATCTTTTCCACTGCTAAATATCAAATTGCAGATTCTGCTAGAGAAACCATAAAAACAATACTTACACTCGGTGCATTTCTAAAGCCCTTGATGGCCTGAAACAGTCCTCCACCAATCACACCCATTGTGAAGGCTCCACCACAATCATCCACAATTCGCCATGGGCTGTAAATTTTGATGCATGTTAAACAAAATCGATATTATTTTTATTCTACTTTATCACTGTGTCGAAAGAGATAAAACACGTAACTAGACCTACAATATGAAAGGTTAAGTGTTCCAGCCTTGAACATTTATACAATACCCAAACAACAATTTGCATGTTTTTCCATACTGTCCCCCCAAAATATCTCAAATTCATCTACAGACACAACCTTGCTAAATATCAGTCACACTGCAAGTGATTTAGCAAAAAAAAAAAAAAAAAATTCTCTTTGCACAATTTAAATACTACTAAGCAGTACAGAGTGTACAATCCACAAAACAAAGGAGCTGTATATGCATGAGGTAAAATTTTCAGTATGCAGTCTGCTTGTCTTCCTTTAGTGGAATGATGCAGAGTAGATCAGCTGATGGTCATGGGCTCTAAACTATCTTCCCTTTAGAAACAACTGTTCTGCTGGTGTATCAGATAGGACCAAGTCCAAAATCTTCCCTGTAAATTAACTTATACCCCCCCCCCCCAAAAAAAAAAAAAAAAAGCAGATCAATACATGGAGATGACTCAAAAGTTATTAGAGAAGCATTTAGCCCACCCTCAAAAAATAAAATACCAGAAGCACCTAGTGTGCCTCATAAGGTTCATCATTGACCTTACATTTTCTGTTATTGGCACCATCTGTAAGGTAGTGCTGGAAGTATGCCATCAGGGATGGAGAGTGTAACCCAAAAGAACTTTTTGCCTATCATTAAAAAAAGACATGAAATCTTTGAAGTTCAATAAAAGAAGAGCTTCTCAACTGTTTTATGTTTAGGAAATATGACGTGTAACAAAAGGGCATTAAAGCAGTTACAAAGGTGTTTAGCTCAGATCACCTGCCTTGAATGACTAACAGGCATTATTGAAAACAGAAGTACAATTTTCTCTGAATTCCCTGTTCATTTCTTCCAGTATGGTAATTTGCTTTCTCTGAACAAACAGCTTTTTTCTGTTCACTTCCCCAATACTTATATCAAACTTTTGCAATCTGCTGACTTTGATGCACTACCCTTGAATCTGGTTTTCATTCGGAGCACCGATGGAAAACACTCACAGCAGAAGAGAGCATCAGACAGACTTAGCAATGGGCCCTCCTGCATGGTAGTTGTACGCTCTTTCCTACCAGGAATATATGAATACTTTACTTTCCTATGCTGTGGTTAGTGGCGAACAGCCCTCCATGAGGGTTCGCAGAGAACATGGCTCCCTGGTACCTTTCATGCCACCCCTCCCCTGCTACTGGGACCAAGAATATGGGGTTTTGGGACTTCTGTGCAATAATTCTGGCAATTCTAGAGGATATGTAATTTTCGTTTGTGGTAATTCTTTACTCAACATCCAAAAATTATTCATCAATCTAAGTTGCCATGACTGAGTGACTGCCCATGGGGAGGGTTGATGGGGTGCACGCTGATTTTGTTACCACCCACAAATTTTATTTTCAGCTTCAAAAATATACTGGCGTTAGTGGGTTAAATTAGTTAGAGACAAAGTATGGTAAGACAACATGAAATTACTCTAACATATTTTTCAGCAGAAGTACTACTTTCCTGAATGCCTTTATATGAGCTGCATGGTTTGTTTACACTGACAGCGAAGAATGGAACTTCGTCTCCAAACAACAAATTTCAACACCCTTTATTTTGTCATTGAACGATGGTATGTGTTTTTGTGCTTTAAATTTGACTTTTTTTTATTACTTTCCATGTTGTTCCTTCATTTTTAGTTGCATTTCATGTCTGTTTACTAAAATTCCATGTACTCCAGATTAACCACATGAATTCCTATATTTGGAAACTTGAGAGTAAGAGGAATCCAACAATTCTTTTTGCTGAACTATTCAAAAAAATTATCTGGCTTACTTACCCAATTCACCAAGACTGTTAAGTTTTTCAAATGTATGGAGTACCCTTGTTTGGTTAATATGGAGAACAGGGTAATGGCTTACTTTCGAAACAATTTAGATATTTATCTGCATGAAATCCAATGATTTTAAAGATTCTTGGCATTGTTTCTTGTGCAAATAATTCGTTGAGGAGATCTGAGTACCATTTCCATCAAAAATCTTAATTTGTTAGTCCCAATAGCAGGGGAGGGCATGAAGTATATCAGTGAAATTATGGGGTAAAACAGGCTAAAATAAGAAGAATAGTGAACAATGTGTAAAATTAGCACAAAAATCACTAAAAATCTGTTAATGAAACTCTACAGACACCTCTGAAAGTATAAACACTGACGCACCAAAATTTTAAAAACTCTACAGGATTCCAACCCATCTTTCGGCAAAATCTACAAGATTCCACACCTTCCAAACCTCTCCCATAAAAACATCATGACCCATAATCCAACATAAACTAGCAATTTAGGGTGTCGTGACTAGGTGTGCCCTTTGGGCATTGCCAGAGGTGAGGGTTGATGTGGAACTATGCCCCCTAACACCCCCGGGACACCTTCTCTTCACCTCGGTATGTACGGCAAGATAGAGCTACATCCAAAATACCATTATATACTGAAACACCAAACTGTCCAACTTTCCTTCACTTTTTCGGTCTAATATGTGAATCGCTTCATTTCTAATAACTCTTTTTGGAATTTGGGGGATTTGACGGGCTTAGATATCAAACTGCAATGGTTATTAAGGTCTCTTTCTTCTTCATTGCCACTGCATAGTCTTAATAATAACCCAGAATCGACACAACACTGAAAACAAGACATTTCACACCAGCCTTCTGTCTCCGAATGGCCAGGAATCCTCCTGAGAAAACTCGTGGCTAGAAATGCGCAAATGCACATGCGCAGAAGGTTCTTCTCATAAAGTGTATGAATAAATCTTAAAACACGTAAATGAGGTATAACAACAAATATAAAGATCACTGAAAGCATAAATGTGGAATAGCAGACACTGATGATTAGCAAAATATAATTTTGACAATCGCATAGTAACACATGAACAACTTCGCACATCGCAATAATGAGTTCTGCTGTCAGTCCAATGATTACTCTCGACATGTAAAGAAGGTGATCAACTTAGCAAAAATTGAGCTCTCACCTCTGTTCATTTACGTATAGCACCTCTGGGAAGCATTTGCACAAACTTTGATATAGAAGAAAAGTGTCTTGGTTTGTATTGGTCTATCAAATTTTGGTATTATTGGAAATGCAACCCCACACCTAATATTAAGAATCTGAGCTTACCATGTGGGAGAACACATCATTCTACGATAATTTTCTTCTTCTGTACCATTTCCCTCACAAATTGATAATAATGGAGTTATTGAGGGCATAATATTCACGATTTCCAGGAGCCGCATTAACCTTACGCCTCCAGCGCCTCGACAAAAGTCATTAAGAGGGACAAAAAGTCTAATGGATTTGTAGCGGATGACGTATGCGCGGGAAATCAAATGAGCCAATTAGATTCGTTCGTGAAGGTGACATGACCATAGACATTCAATAGAACTAATCAGATATGGAATATATCATCACGTGACAATAGAAGCTGGGCCTAAGAGAAAGCAGTTGAAATTCAAATCAGTTTAATCATGGCTACACAGTGCGCAGCTTGGGAGAACAATTATTTTGTCTTTCTCGCAAAATATCATCGCAATAACAAAGCTAGTTTGCAATATCTGCGAGATCACAGTGTACTTCCAGTGGAAGATTAGTGCCCGCACTGCAAGACACTATGTCATTATAGAAAAGACAAACACCAGTGGGTTTGTGGTGCATGGACAAAGATCGCAAAGACAAAACGGAGAAAACAGCGCAATTTCATGGTAAGCGATTACAAAGTAACATTTCTCTCAGGAACTAGACTTGTACCCTACCAAATAATCTCCTTCATCAATCACTGGCTAAGTAAACACTGGGATCATCAGACCGTTATGGGTGCCTCCATATTGCTGAGCCCCCCTCCCCCCTTGAAAGGGTGTTTAAGGGGATGGAGCCCCCTTTACAATCAGGAAATGTATCGATATATTATTATTGCTAGTATTTTACCGATATTTCTTGAAATTACCCCCCGCCCAATATGTATCTTGCCCTCCCCTACTATCGGGACCGTATCGTAGCTATGCTTCATTTGCAAAGGAAACAAGTGCTAGATTCATTCGAAACACGATGAAAGGTATCGGAAAATTATTTTATTCATGCAAAATAGCCTGTGTAGAAATAATTTGTAGAAATCTTTTTGTACGGACAGAAAACAATGCAAAAATTGTTGCACGTGGAACCACATTTTACAGTCTGAAATCCACAACTACCTCCAAGTAAACAAACCTCAATGCTTATACTAGCCAGATAGAGATGGTTGACCTCCCTGGCAATGTAGTGTACAATATAATGCCTGCTGTAGCTCTTTCTTCACAAATTTATGTGAGGGGTATTTATGCTGCGTTCAGAACTGCTCGTCCTGCTCGTCCAGACCAGTTGGACGAGATGTTTTGACCATTCGGAACCTACACTATCTCGTCCTGGACAAGTAGTCTTACCCTCCTGCGAACCTGGGCAAGCAAGACGAGATGACGTCACAATACCTTTTGTATGTAAACACTGACAGCTGCAGGTAACCACAAGATATTGATGGGTAATTTTATGACCCTTTACTGGTGTCATCATAGGATATTTTTTGTGTTTGTCAATTGCAGGTAGTTACATATGCATCAAAGAAGTTACAAAACCTATTTCCCCCTAAATATATTGGTTCCAAACGTGGCCTACTTATCCTGCTGGTCATGGACAAGTTTGTCTGGACGAGCAAGACAAGGAGTTCCAACGCAGTATTATTCGCCTTTGATGAAACACAAAGCTGAGGCCACAGCATCAAACTTTACTGTTCCTTTTCAGAGCAATACCCTGGTCTGTGCAGAAAAAATGCTGTGGCTCATATAATAAATGCTATCACTAGTTCATCAATCTCTACCTTTACATGATAAAGCCAAAAATAACAATACAATACAACAAAACAACAATCTCCATGAAACACTTTCCTTGTCCGAAAAAAAATCCTTCATCTTCGTTATTGTAAACGGCGTAATTTAAACAAAATAACATTTCCCTGTTCTTCTTGTTACTCAAAGCCAACGAAAAAATAATACAAACATAATCCCCACAAGCAAAAGATCAACATATTGCATAATCACACATGAGCACAAGCAGCCAGCAGACGATGCTCACCATTTCCCCCTAAATATCCTATTACTAGCCTTATTTCCACGATTCTAACCTCATTTCCTAAATCCCCTTCACAACAAATGCCCTCATAATGAATCTAAGTATGAAAACAACCTTTAAATCTAACATAAATGCGAAAAATTAACTCACCAAGGTTCTCTTGAGTATTCCTCCATGGTTGCGACTCAGCGACAAAGAGACGGTCGAGATGCGCAAATGTTGTTTTTATTATAGTTGGCGTTTTTCGATTTTCTTATCAATTGCTTTCACTTACATATGTAGAGAGAAAATATTAATACCGTAATTTTGCAATATATTGTGATATCTTGCATGAATACCAAATATCCTTTTCTCTAATAATTTAGCGAATTACATCATATTCCCTTGGCGGATCATCCTGTATATATTTTTTTTCATTATTGTTTATTGTTGATATTGGATGTTGTGGCTCTTATCAATACTATCATTATTATCATTAATGTCCTTATTATTAGTAGTATTTGCATTATTACTATCAGTATTGTAATCACCAGCTTCATCAAGTCACTATTATTATTGATATTATTGTCATTGCTTTTACATTTTTATCATTATTATGATCATTATTATTATCATTATCATTATTATTATCAATATTATTATTATCATTATTATTATTATTATTATTATTATTATTATTATTATTATTATTATTATTATTATTATTATTATTATTATTATTATTATTATTTATCATTATTATTATCATTATTATTTATTTATTATTATTATTATTATTATTATTATTATTATTATTATTATTATTATTATTATTATTATTATTATTATTATTATTATTATTATTATTATTATTATTATTATTATTATTATTATTATTATTATTATTATTATTATTATTATTATTATTATTATTTATTATTATATATTATTATTATTATTATTATTATTATTATTATTATTATTATTATTATTATTATTATTATTATTATTATTATTATTATTATTATTATTATTATTATTATTATTATTATTATTATTATTATTATTATTATTATTTTATTATTATTATTATTATTATTATTATTATTAATTATTATTATTATTATTATTATTATTATTATTTATTATTATTATTATTATTATTATTATTATTATTATTATTATTATTATTATTATTATTATTATTATTATTATTATTTTATTATCATATATTATTATTATTATTATCATTATTATTATCATTATTATTATCATATTATTATATTACTACTACTACTACTTTACTTTTATTACTATTCATATCATCATACTATTATTATTATCACCAATATTATTATCATTACAATTATTGTTATTATCATTATTATTACTATCACCATTATCTTAATATTGTCATTATCAATCTTAATCATATGTTATCATTATTGTTATTATTATTATTGTTATCATTATCATCGTTATTATGATTATTTTTGTTGTCATCATTATTATCATTATGATTATTATCATTATGATTATTATTATCATTACTGTTATTGTTGTTATCATAATGACAATCTTTGTAATTATTATTATCATTATTGTTATTACTATCATTGTTATCATTATCATTAATATAATATTATTATAATCATTATCAAGTTACATTATGACTATTATTGTTATGATTATCATCATTATTATTATCATTATTACTAATACTGTCATCATCATCATTATTCTTATCATGGTCGTTATTGCTATTATAGTTATTCTTATTATCACCATTATCACTATCATCATTATTTTTGTCATTATTATTATCATTATAAAAATAATATCATTATTACTTTAATCATAATCATCATCATTATCAGTATTCCTATTATCATTATTACTTTCACTACTATTATCACCATTATCATCATGATCCTCATCATCACTGATATCATTATCCTTGTTATCATTATCATTCTTCATCATTATTTTTGTTATCTATTACTATCATAAATTTCATTATTATCATTATTATCATTATCATATTATTATTATTATTATTATTACTATTATTACATTATTATATTATTATTATTACTATTATTACTGTTATTATTATTATTAATTATTCATTATCATTATTATTATTATCATTATTATTATTATTATTATTATTATTATTATTATTATTATTATTATTATTATTATTATTATTATTATTATTATTATTATTATTATTATTATTATTATTATTATTATTATTATTATTTATTATTATTATTATTATTTATTATTATTATTATTATTATTATTATGTCAGCAACGAATGAACGAAGACCCTCGCCAGAATTGAGAGATGCCGAAATTGTCAGGGTTTATGATGAACTACGATCATACTGATTATGGCAACAGGGCTGTGTAATCCTCAGTCGAAGAGGGTGATAGTGCTTCATGAGGCATCGCATGGGCCGAGATGGTGTATTTAAATTAGGAAAAGTGTCAGGGTTATTGTGCCGAGATGGTGTATTCAAATTAGGAAAAGTGCCAGTTATTGGAAGCTAAGAAGCAATGACACAAGCACGGTAGTGTAAAGGAAAGGCCAGAAAGACATCATTAATAAAAATGGTAATAATAATAAAATTTATTTAGTATAAATTACATACATTACATGCAGTTTATACATAGTTAAGAAAAGCATATGATAAGTACTCATGATAACACTTAGGACATTACTTAGAAGTAAATAATGCTTGGAGCCAAAGTAAGATATATATTATGATTGTAGTGCAAGTGTATTGGTATCTCGGTATTAGATCTTACTCTATGCAATTAATAATTATGATTACTGTTATTATTACTAATGTGATTACTGCTACTACTACTACTACTACAACTATCACTGCCACTACTACTATTATCAGTATTATCATTATCATGATAATTTTCATTATCATTCCATTATTGTTATCATCATTATCATTGTTTATTATGAATATTATTATTCTCATTCTCATTATCATTGTTTATTATGATTATGATTATTATCATTGTTTATTATGATTATCATCATTCTCATTATTATTATCATTGTTATTATCTTATTTATTATTATCATTTTCATATTTATCATCATTATCATTTTTATATTTATTATCATTATCATTTTAATGTTAACATTACTATGATCATCAATGTAAATTTTGAAAATATACCATACTGGGTTCCACCCTATTAACGATGCAATGACATGAGAGTGATCTGTGGTACAAAAGGTGGTTTGAGCAGGACATTGATATCTCTCCTTGTGTATGCTCCAGCGGTGTGTAATTCTGTTTAGAATTATTGAAACAATTTATAAAGTATCTATTCCTCCATCAGTTTCGTTTCTCTATGATTTACCATGTAATGTGTATATCTTTAATTGCTTGTCGATCAGTAAATTCAGTATATATCGAATAACCAAAGACATTTAGTCTCTCTTGTTCAGAGGAACAGTTTGACGTCGGTGCGTCGTTAAGGGGACTCGTCTGTGCTACGTTTGTCTTGTGTTCTCAGGGAGGACCATGAGCAGTATGTCGTCACGCTCACCGAACTGCTCTTGTGGTTTAGGGTCTTATGCTGGGGTCCTTTGGCGGAGTCCTCTGCTTGAGCTTTTTGGCTGGGGTCCTCGGCTGGGATCCTCTGCTGGAGTACTATCCCGGGGTCTTCTACCAGTCTTATTCTAGGCTCCTTTGCGGGTGCCTTTGTTTGAGTTCTTGGCTGGGGTCCTCGGCTGGGGTCCTCTGCCGGAGTCCTCTGTTTGGGTTCTGTGCTGAAGTCCTTTGCAGGGGTCCTTTGTTCAGGAATCATCTGCTGGGGTCTTCTGCTGAAGTAGTCTGCCAGGGTCCTTTACCTCCCTTGATGTAGCCTTGAGTTCTCAGGGTTACGGCTGAAGGCGTCTGTGACAGGGCTTTGCTTCGGCGGTTTCACTAATAGAGCTTTATTTACATGTATTTATGTACGTGTATGTGAGTAGATGTAAAGTAAGTAATTGAGGGAGGGAGAGAGGGAGAGTGTGTGAGTGTGTTTGATTAAAATATCTGTAATATCACAGTACAGCAGAATGACTATTACTTGAAAAAACACGTGGGAATATATATCGCCAAAAAAAAAAAGTGCTTTTGAAATCTATTATTAATTTCATAAATATTATTTTCACCGAACCTCATACTGGAATTCATTACTTTTATCAATGCTTGTAGGATGCCATGCAAGCATTTACACACTATGGTTGTAAAAGCGATTGTAAGGTAGTAAATAAATAAAATGTGGAGTCAGGGCATATAACTGTTTATTAATTTAATGTACGACTAGAGGAATAAATTGGCAAAAGAAAGAATATCAAAATAACCAGAATGCAGAGTCACGGCGGTCACACAATGCAGAAGTAATCTTAATCGAATTTCTGGCATATCATCTTCATTTTAGCAACATTTCTGTGTCGACATTTTCGCGTATACTAAATATATTTTTTAGAATGGCGAAGGAAATTCGTGCGTTTCCTATGCGAATTTAGCAAGGCCCTGCAAATGAAACATGTGAATCTGTAAGAAAATTGTTAGATATATTATTAAATATGAGAATCCTGCTGTGTGTATTATGAAATTTTAGCAAGGGCGTGAAAATAGATATCAATGAATCTATTGGAAAAATATTGAGTGAGATTCATTAAGTATGTACACAAATATGAGAATTAAATCTATATTTCAATAACTCAATATCTGAATACTCATCTAGTCTCTTACGTATGCATTTTATATTATATTTTTTTTCAACTCTCACTTTTGTTATGTGGAATAAATATCATGCAGCGTGATGGGGTAAAATCATGCACATTTCCTGGTATTTTGTCTGATAACCGCTGCAAATGTTAATCCATGCATTAGTGTAATTGTTGCTATCAGAAAGAGTACATCTGCTAATTATTTCGGTCCTATCAGAAAATACAAGCATTAAAATATTTCGCTTTTGAACCTGGTATTTGAATTTTTTGAAAGTCCATATTTCCCCTTTGGCGAGCGGAGGGTCGAATCGGCGTGTATTTCCTTTTTGTTTCGAATACATATACAATACAGATGCACACACACTCATACAAACACACACCCTGTATATGGATGTGTATGTGCATGTGTATATGTCTATGTATATGTACGTGTGTATGTATGTATATATATATATATATATATATATATA